TGTTTGGGCAACCCCAAACTCATGGGCGTTTGGGATTAATAGCTTGAATATAGCACCAATAACATCATTACCACTTTCCTTAATACATTCTCACCTGAGATTCAGGTATGCATGCGCTCATTACCGCTCTCCTCAATTCACAATCTGCTATGTATATCACCCTAACCCTCTCTATATTTGAGTACCTGGTGCGGTGTATAAACATCGACACTGGCGAGACAAAGGCGGCCGGGCGTGGTGTTGGCCACTCAACCGACTCGTGTCACTAACAGCACTTGTCTCCCACAGTCTGCACGTCTTATACGTGGGGAGCTTTGTCTGTTGTGTGTGTGTTGTGTTGTCTTTGGGACGACGGTGGCGTTGTGGTTGAGCGCCGCACTGCGCCACCAACCCCCGAGGCACGTGGGTCAGATTGCCGGCGACGGCTCACGTCGGCGGACGGTTGACGTCTGGCCCTTCCCCTAGGTAGGCTCAGCCTTAAATTGAGTACCTCGTGCGGTGTGTAAACAAACGGATATGCACCACACCACGCATCTTCAGTGCCGTGCAATCGTTAATACGTTCTCGCTGACAGAACTTATCCCAGGAGTAAAAAAAAAAGGCTATTCGGGGGAGATATTTGTCTTTGTATGAAGAAGCAGCGGTTCATTCAGTGGATCGCGCACCTGCTCGATTCCAGACCACCTCCGATTGGCACGGTTGACTACGTACGGTGCGAAAGAAGTTCAACATACGTGAACATATTAACTCATGATGAGCCTCGCCGTGCAGATGGACTCAGCGCCTTGGCGCCGGAGATGGAAGACAAAGACGGCCCGGCGTGGAAGCGACCACGCCACTCTGCCCCTGTGATGCCGTCTGTTTTAATCGGTGCTCGCTGACAGCACATGCCTTGGGTTATAGGTCTAACGACCTATAACCCAAGGCTAATCATACGAGGATGATCGCCGAGTTTTGACGTGTGATTCAAGTATGATGAATGTGTTCGCCCTGTACCCGACAGAACTAAATGGGCCTATAATTCCACGGAGGTGGCAAAATTTCGTGTTTAGCTTCGGGCGCCATGTGGAGATGGCGCCGACGATGACAACGCTATTACGTTTAGACAACATCGGTTCGACCCTTGTCTGGCAATAAAAACAGGTGTGATGATGTTTAAACACCAACTAGAAAAACTCTTTGCGATGAATCACGTCTGCATCAACCGCACGTACTCGCGGTGAACATGCAAACAAAAAAACATGCTCTGATAATAATATTTGGCATTGCCTTTGAAACTGATTGCTCTACACCAGAAACAGCCTTCTTTCGGGCCCAGTCACACCAGGGTCAGACCATAGAAAGCCAAAAGGGGTTCTCTGTTCGCCTTTTGGCGTTCTCTGGTCTGACCCTGGTGAGACTAGGCCCTAAAGAAGGCTGACTCGGGCGTAGAACAATCAGTTTAAAAACAATGCCCTATATTTTCAGAGCATGTTTTTTTGTTTGTATGTTCACCACAAGTACGTGTGGTTAATGCAGACTTGATCACTTGCAAAATGTTTATATTTTGTGTTTGAACATCTTAACACCTATAATACAGGTTGTTTGGGTTAGATCGCGTAAATATATAAATGTGTCTTTAAACTCGCCACCACCCGACACAGCAAATTAGTAAATTTGTTTTGACACGTAAACAGAACGTGGCCAATTCGTCACTAGTACAGCACACCGGCGTGTTGGAGAGCAAAGCCACAACATTTACAATCCGAGTACGACGTTTCGCCAGTAATTGCAACCAGCATAATCAGGCAACAGCCAGATTTGTGGATAAAACCTCCTGTTTCGTTCCTTAAATAGCGGGGTAGATGTGATGACGTCACTTATGGCCAAACAACTGACTGGACTCGTATTCTTGGTTCTTTCGGTAACGTCACGTAGAAGGGAAATAAAAAAAAATGTGCATGTTTTTATTATTTTATTATTTCCCTTCTACGTGACTTTACCGAAAGAACCAAGAATATGAATCCCTGCAGTCACGAAAGCTTTAAATCAAAATTTGACTGGACTTTTTTTATTGTTTCACACCTGTTTAATTGCCAGAAAGCGTAAACACGATTCTTACTTTTTCATACGTTGATACTGGCAAAAAAACAAACAAGGTCCCGTGCTTTTTCTTCGTTATTTCGGTAAAGTCACGTAGAAGGGAAGTAATAAAATAATAAAAACATACCATTTTTTTCCCTTCTACGTGACTTTACCGAAAGAACCAAGAAGATGAATCCCTGCAGTCACGAAAGCTTTAAATCTAAAAAAAAAAGTTTTTTATTATTTTATTATTTCCCTTCTACGTGACTTCACCGAAAGAACCAAGAAGATGAATCCCTGCAGTCACGAAAGCTTTACATTGAAATTTAAGGTCCCGTGCTATTAACACTCCAGTTGCAGACTCGACGTGTCAAGAACGACGCCGTCCTCGTCACGCCGACCCGAGGCATTCCCGTGGCCAGTCAGCTGTTGTGGCCGCCCTACGTCACCGCCCTGGTCGGTGCGGGTCGATACAAGTGGCGGTAGGCAGGAGCGGCTCGGATAGCGATGATAGCCGTGGATGGGAATGCAACTCAGGTTCGCTGGGTTAGGGACCGTCCATAAATGACGTCACGCGATTTTAGACGATTTTTTACCCCCCCCTCCCCCCCCCCCGTCCTTCGTCACACGGCGTCACAAAAAGTCAGACCCCCCTCAAATATGACGTCACAAAGCTCTGCCCCCGCCCCCCAAAAAAAAATAAAACATGCTTCAAATGGCTTTAAACTATTGTCATTGTAGTGCGTATTTAACGTGCCGCTGCACTCTGATGTTGTAGGAGAAAACATGTATTAAAACGTCTATTTAATTAAGTAGAACGTGTTGTCTATATTAATTTAAAGTTGGGCATTTTGATGTGAGGTCACATTTCTCAAACCACCCCCCCTACCTCGTCACACATCGTCACAAATGTCTGACCCCCCCCCCCCCCCCAGGTGCGTGACGTCATTTATGGACGGCCCCTTATCGCGGCGCAGTGCGATCTCCCCCCCCCCGTGTCCCCCCACTTGTTATGCCATTCGCGACTGACGTCAGTCTTGGTGAAGTTTCGAACCCATAATGTTATCGACTCATAAACAATAACAGAGTCCAAGCCACACCTCTCTCTCTCTGTGTGTCTCTCTCCACGACCTCCATGCGCCTCATCGTGTGAGCGCCACGCCGCCTATAAAATGCCTCGTGGCTCCCTGAAAAGTGCCGTTAAAGTCCGGCGTCGTTGGCCAGTTGAATTCTTATTCTATTCATGCACTCGCGGAAGGCCGTGTGACCGATGACGTGTAAAAAAATATATAGATGTTTAAACGCCGAGAGACAAATACGGGCGGGTAGGATGGAGTATTGGTCCAATGGTTTATTATTTCAATACCTACTTGTTTATCGTAAGTATAAATTTCGATTTAAAGCTTTCGTGACTGCAGGGATTCATCTTCTTGGTTCTTTCGGTAAAGTCGCGTAGAAGGGAAATAATAAAATAATAAAAATAAAACATAATAAAATAATTCTCACGACGTTTCGGCCACAACGCAAGCAGCCGTCTTCATGTGAAGAACAGGTCTGTCGGAAAGACAGCGTCGTAAGTATGTTGAACTTCTCTGGCCACCATACGTGCTCATTGGAGGTGCGTTGAAAAGGTGTGCCCAGCGCCGATTGAGGTAACACTCGCCTCCAATGTCAGCCACTGCCTCCTGGAATAGAATCATCGAGTTCTGCTCAGCGGAGTACTTAGCTCAGTGCGCTAACCACTGCGCCACCGCTCCCTCCTCAGCCCCCCCCCTCCCCCTATCTCCCTCTCCGCCGTAGTTAATGCTGCAATCCAAAAGCCACGGGCTGCGTATCCAGCGGCTTTCCCACGCGAGTTTGTTGAAGCTTCGTACAACGGAACTACGTCGAAGAGACGCTTTGAGTAGCGCTCTCACAAACGCATCTCGTCTGAGCTGCGCTCTGTTCGCGATCGGTGTTTTTGTTTTCCCGTGACACCCACGCCACGGGACGCGTCGCCACTTGAAATCAGGCAATCAGTCGGCTAGATATATTAAAGTGTGCTTTGAAAACCCCCATCTCTTTAAAGTGGCCTTCCCTCTTTAGTTTGGTCGATTGCCCCTGCGGTTCTGTTTTTTTTTATTCCTGCTTGCCATGCATTTGCATTGGGATCCCAGAATGGAATGCGCTTTCTAAATTCAAATTATTATAGTGACTGCATTACGAGCCTATCGATTTTTTATGCTACATTTTCCTATCCCCGGTATAGAGATGTTCAGTTGATTATAGATCCCAAGTGCGTTTAATATACGCGTCGGATCAATCCACGTATATATTAAACGGACACTTTAAACGTCTAATATACATCTGTGTCTGAGCTAATCCAATTAAAACCACGGAAAAGTCAGCGCCACGCATACCAACAGATACAAACGAATATAAATACATTAAAAAAACAAGTATAGTCTTTATTTTAAATTCGTTAGCCAATAGCCATATAAATTATTGTGATGACAATCGATCGCGTCCACACAACTCATGAGGTCGCGAATCCAAACGGACGCCGAACACAAAAACAGGTCGCGGAGTGTTTTTTAAAATAAAAAAAATCATCAAAAAATCAAGTCATCTGGGATTTCTTTAACCGAGGGGGCGGGGGCGGAGGGCAGGGGAGGGAGTGATGGGGGGAGGCGTGAGGGAGTGGGAGCATGGGGAGGGGGTGGTGGGGGGAGGGGGGAGGGAGTGGGGGCAGGGGAGGGGGTGATGGGGGAGGGAGTCGGGGCAGGGGGGATTTGGGGGGAGGCGTGAGGGAGTGGGGGCATGGGGAGGGGTGATGGGGGAGGGGGGAGGGAGTGGGGGAAGGGGGGGATTTGGGGGGAGGCGTGTGGGAGTGGGGGCATGGGTGATGGGGGAGGGAGTGGGGGCAGAGGGAGGGGGGATTTTGGGGGCGCGGGGGGTGGGGGTTGCTTTCATGCACAATATCATTTACTTTATTTTTTTTTACTTTTAATATTTGCACACATCACAGGCAAAAGTCGACATATATAATTAGATAGACCTAACTCTGACATGGAAACACAAGGTTCGTAAACAATCGATGCAAGTACAGTATAACGTATGTACAATTTATTCAAAACGGACTTAAATAATTTTATCTCGTGTTATCTTTACAATCCACTTGGAGCAAAACACCGATCTCGTCGCGCGTATGGCGGCGTCGATAACAAAAATAAAAACAACGATAAACGATTGCGTGGGGTTCCTTTTGGGAAGGGTGAGGAGTTGGGGGACATCATCGGCCAATATCCGCGCGCACAACTCTTGGACAACGTTGCTCACAGAACAGGTTGCAAGAGTATTATTATCATTAGTGTATTTTTGTATTCCTTCCCTTTCAACCCGTGTCGATTTCTCCACATTTTCACGGGCCAGGTAACGTTCCGCTTAATCGAGCAGCGCCTCACAAAGGTTTTCCTCCTTCGACGTTACCACGATTCCGTCGGGCAGGAGTGGGGAACGTCCGGCCCGCGGGCCGTTTAAGGCCCCGCGAAATCATTTGGTGTGGCCCTGCCAAGCCAACCGCAGGCGGGACTCGAAATTCAATGAATCTCTAGGAGCAAACCTGGAAAAGCAGTTGCGAGTAGCAGCAACATCATCAATAGCCAGCTAACATCACACGCCTCGCCAAATAGAAGCAGTTCCAGCCATCGCATTAGGGGCGAGTAATGAAATGTTTGACCAAATAGAACGGGCTAATTTTTAAGTTGATAATTTTGTATATGTTATAAATATCCAAATGGCCCTTGGCAGAAAAAAGGTTCCCCCACCCCTGCCGTAGGGCAACCAAAAAAATAAGAACCACACACACGCTCGCGCGCGGTTCGACAGATCTCAGCCACGCGCGCTCGCTTTATAATGCTGTGACACATCGATCCCACGCACACAACAACAACAACAACCGTCGTTCGCCACTATAGCGGCGATGGCGCACAACGGCGCTTGTGACGGGCTAGGTATTACACCTCGAGGCCACGTGGAGTGTGTCGAAGGCTCTCTGGCTGCAGGAGGTCACGGGAGAGACCCAGGTGCCATGGGGTGACTGATTGAGATGGCCGGCAGATGCGCCACCTGTGCGCTCCACACTGTGGCAACTTGCTGCGTTTTATCCTCCCGGCGCTCCGCTCGTTGTTGTGAGCGTCGCCCATCCGCCCTCCGTGATACATTGACCGATATTGACACCGCTGGCAGCAGTCATCGGCAAGTCCAATCAGCTCCACATCCTTCTGTGCCACATCACTCCATATCTCTTCTCGAGCCCGTGCCGTGCCCGATTAGCCCCCTCTATCCGGCCAAACAGAAGCTGCTGGGTCATGCGGTGCCAAGTTCTGTTTAGAGAGCGCCTATGAAGGCGAGGGGATGGGTGGCCAGCCAGCACCACGCCCGGCCGCCTTTGTCTCCCCCGTGACGATATTTACACACCACACCAGGCTACTCATTCGAGGGCGAGTCAACCTGGACGAGACCCAGACCCGATTCGAATGTTCGCCACGGTTATTGGTCATGAACGAGCGAAGCTAACCGCTCCCCACACACCCACACATACAAACGCGCGTGTGTGCATTAACGGTGGGTATGTAATGCACGCGTGTTGCCTCCAACTGGCGCCTGGCGTCAACAAGGCAATTTAGCTCTCCCTCTTGACATCTCCCTAGTGGCTAATTGCAGGCGGACGGTGGCTGCTGCTGCTGTTGTTGTTTTCTGTTTGCTGCATCGCGTATCACACACTGCCCCCATCTGCCCGACTCGGGAAATTGTTGCTTTGATCCTCCCTCTCCTCCTCCTCCCCACCACGCTCGCGGGACGCAAGCGTGTCTCGTGAATAAACAGTACCGGCTTTTTTTTTTCTCGCAATAGGAAACAACATCACCACGAATTGTCCACAGCCGCGCGTCTCACGAGCGACGAGAGTAATCGTGATGACGACGCCTCCGCAGAACTGCGAAATTGCCGGCAGGACGCGCTTCTTGCAAAGTCCGTGTGGGCACGGCGGCGTCGATTCTGTCTCTCCGTCGCTCTGCACGCGCAGCGCTCCGCGTGAGCGTTCCGTCTCCTCCCGGGGGGTGCGGAGGAGGGGTGGGTGGGACGTCACTGCTTGCGTGTCAGTCATCCGACGTGACGTCTATCTCGTCGCCGCTGCCTTGGTTGGTCGCCTGCCTCCACCGGTTGATGTGATGGGAGCTCTTCTTCTTCTGCGGACTCTCCGGCCCTTCCTCCTCCAGCTTCTGCCTCTTGTACTTGGTTCGCCTGTTCTGGAACCATACCTTTACCTGCGGGCACAGCGGGCGGGCGGGCGGGTTTGCGTGGGGGTGGAGGGTGGGGTCAGGAGTTAGGAGTTAGACCGCAGACTTTTGAATGGATTCATCTCAGGCGTATGGGGGTTGCGCGGCCTGGGGCAAATTACCCCGTGTGGACCTCCGACGCCTTCAAACTAACCCCGAAGTATAACACCTGACACCGTGACGTCGAGCGCGCCCCCCCCCCCCAAAGCGCGGGGCCCGGGCGGTCGCCCACGTAATCGCCGTACCCTAGCGACGGATCAAAGCCACGATATTATCCACCGCTGCGTGAAGGTCTCCCCATAACTCGAGCTGTGGGCGCGGTATTTGTGAGAGATGTTGCCAGTTTGTGGATCGATGAGGATTCGAGAGGGGCTAGGAGTGAGAGTAATCGTGACCACCCGAAGCTACGTTACGACGCATGTGCGTGATTGTGTTTCAGTCAAAATCAGCCACGATCTATCCACTGTAGGATGAAGGCCTTCCCATACCTGCACCTCCAGGGACAGCTTTGGAGTTATTATACCAACGTCTTAAGAGTTGCTTCATAATTTCCCATCAAAGTTACGTTGAGTTATAACACGTGTGATTGCGTATACAGTCATCTCCATCATCAGCCGTGATCTACACACTGCTGGATAAAGGCCTCCTCGTGCCGTGTTTGTCGAGGGAGTTATGCATTTGACCATACTTCACCACGTGGATCAAGAGCGGGGTGGGTGGGGGGCACTGATGGTGACCGCGGCCGCGAATATAACTTAGACCGTCGAGTTCATAGCGCAGTGCGCTAACCACAGCGCCACCGCTCCGGGTGTATACAGTACGTGCGTGAACCATGCTTTAGGTAGAAGAAACGGCGATTGAAATGTCCACGGTTACGTTCACAGCGCACGCATTGCGGGAAGCAATGCCGTTCCTCGCTTGAGCGATGGCGTGCGATGATTTCGCATGGCCCCTGCCGAGCCACGAGAGGCGCTACCAATTATCTTCAAAGTTTAAAGCTGTGCCGTGATTACATTCTCTGGTTCTTTCGGTAAAGTCACGTAGACGGAAGAAGAAAAAATAATAACAATAAAATAGTAAAAAAAAAGTGAATAAAAATTATCACGACGTTTCTATCGCAACACAAGCGGTCGTCATCAGGAACAAGGAGGTTAAGCCTCTGAGGGCAAGCTGGAATTATTTTAAATGAGTAGCGACAATTAGGTTCATTGCCTGGAGGCGCGGTGGGGGTGGGGGGGGATTGTCAGTGACGTCCATACGTGCAGCTGTTATCTAGCGCTTTGGAGGCAAGGGTTGGTGGACCATGCAGAGATTTTTTTCTGTATTATTAAACTACAAAACCCAACTGGATTCCAGATTGTCAGTAAAATTATGTTTCGGTCCATTGGCCTATAAGCCAATGGGCTTTCTGTAAACAAAAATCCTGCAAGACATTGATTGCAAACACCCATAATCCGAAAAAGATGTCAAGTTATCGTCAACGTATTCTGTTTTAAGTTGTGAAACATACCTGTACTTATTGTTGTATTAATCATGCGTAGAAATATGCACGTCGATGGAGAGTTTACAACGTTATTAGGCCAACTGTACTGTGAGCCCGGCCACCTAAGTTCGATTCCAGCCCATGGCAAACCATCCTTGGCGAGTGATACCGAAACCTGGAGTCTCCCCATCCTCTTCAAACCCACACTGACCAGAATGGTGAAGTATGATCCAACAAACCCCCACGACCGACACGGATTGGGGGGGGGGGGGTGGGTTTGAGTAGGTGAGGAAGGGGGGGCACGCTCATCCAGCAGTGGATTGACAAAAAAGAGCTGTTGAATGTACACACCACGTGCACGCATTGACCAAGGTGCGCTCTGATACGAGCTCACCGTGGCTTCACCAGAGGTATATTCGGACGGTTGGTCCGATATTGCCTCTGCATAGGCATCCAACAGCAGCACAAAGCGCAGATTCCCAACTTCACATTCAAGTTCGCCGACGGCAATTTTCAACGGAGCGTGGCCGACTCCAACAGAGCCACGCACAAGCGCCCCGTCCGTTCGGGGGAACGTTCGCAGATGACTGGCGACACGCCACTGACCATCATCATCGTCATCATTCATTGTCTAAATTTGTCAAGAGTAGAAAATTACCCCCAAATAACCCCATTGGGACTCTCCATAGCAATCATTGTCCCGCTGCTGTCCGACTGACGCCCCATGATGCAGGTCACTCTTGCGATCGAGAATGCCCTGCAGGTGGTCGTGAACTCTCTGGCCCGGTTCAACAAGATGAACTCGAAACTTAAACAGCGGGACGAAGGCCTTCGCAGCTCGCTGCCGTGCCTCGTGGTCCCGCGAGAGAGCAATCCATCTGGGTCCCGCGCACGAGTTGCTTTCAGCGCTCCATCTCCACGGTGGGGCCCTCCTCTCGAGCGCGTTTCTATTGAACGATCGACCACTGTTGAGTCGCGACGTAGCCAACACGGAGGCGTGCGGCATCGTATCGACAAGGCTCGATTCTTGCAACTCACTATTCTACGGGACGTCTGACACAAAGACATTGCCAAGCTGCAGCGTGTCTAACATTCCTTGGGACGTGTCGTGACGGGTTCTGGAATATCCGACCGCGTATGTCCGGTGCTCGTCGCACTCATTACACACAAAAGTGCTTGCCGTAAAATCACAAATGAACCACAATACCTTGCTGATCTCGTCAAGGAGCATAAATCATCACGCAAACTCCGGTCATCCTCGCAGCAACGGCGTTTGGCTAACTGGCCGTCGAACAAAGACGGTCACTGTATCGCGCGCTTTCAGATGTGCTCCTGCGACCGTCTGGAACGCTCTTCCTTCCGATGTTAGGAAGCCACTGGAGCTATGCACTTTTAAACCCTGATTTCAAAATGCATTTCACTCGAAGTGCTCTTTGTGTTTTGTTTGTTGTCCTTCCTCCGCACCTCCGCTTAGCAACGGTCGGTTATGTACGGTGGAAAATAAGTTCAACACACTGTACAACAATTCTAGGCCACACGCAAAAGCGAAAAGTTCCACCGTCGAGGCAATTATAACCGCACTGCACAGTGAACCTGACGATCCGAGATCGATTCCCGACCACGGTTAACATCGCAAACAGCAGTTCTGTTTGTTTCTGGCCGCTTGACGATTTGGACCTTTGGGTATGTGCCCAGCAACCTTGATGTCAAAAATATTAACTTGGCAGTGATACAAATTATAATAATGTTAATGCCGTATATTGAATCAGGCAAGGCTCACTGGGCAAAGGCTGCTTTGGATTTCGTTCGGTTCTGTGCTGTTTGCCCAAGATGTAATGGAGCCAGAGTGAAGGGCACTAAGGGGTTAACTGTTCTTGTCCAAGTCACACAGCATCGGAGCATTATGACGTTACGACAACAATTTTAATGTACACGTCGTCTTCATGCATCTCAAGAATAAGCACATTTAGATTTGTGTTATCTCTTAACAATAATTCAGGAGGCTCATAGAGCCATAATAAGACACCTATACGATTCCCCGGGTTGGTCGTTAATGCTCAAGGCTCAGATGAACAGTATTGAGAATAGGGTTTCCCTTTTTTTCTGGCAACAAAACCGTTGTTAAGATGTTAAAACAGCAAACTGAAGCCTGCTGGCGTCCTCTGGTCTAACACCGTTTGAGATTAGGCTCGAAAGAAAGCCGTCTCTGGTGTGTTACAATCAGTTTCAAAGACAATGCATATATTAGAGTATGTTTTTTGTTTGCATTCTGACCACAATTATTGTGGTTAATGCAGACATGATTCCTTGTAAAATTTTCAGTTTGGTGTTTTTACATATTAACACCTGTTTTGTTGCCAGAAAAAAATGGAAACCCTATTCTCATATTTTGGTACTGGCAAAGGAGGTCTCATGTTATGAACAGTATTATCGAGAGGCATAATAATAATAAGAGTGGAAAGCCCAGGAACCAGTTTTCATAACACTTGCCACGATTGTTAGCTTTGGCCCGGAATCAAACTACAGTACTTACTGCAAGCGCGCCGGATTAATTGAGGCCGTGCGCTAACCGTTGCGCCACCGCTCCATCCCAATCCCCGAGACGAGCGTGCATATACACACACACCAATCAGTCTCCCCGTGTGCTCTTCGAGTTGTACAGTCCCCCATTCAACCCGGTCACTTAAATAAACTCCCAGCACACGGAGCGAAACGTCGGACATCGTTCCGAACGACAAACGCAAATCGAGGAATCTCCACCTTCGCACACCCCCCCACCCCCCTCCTCCTCCTCGTCCTCCTCCGCGTGCTGCTAAGTGCCATTGGCTCCTCGTTCGAGTGTCCTTATCTGCGTCGTGAAATATCTCGTTTCCCTTTCGCTGGGTTCGAGGTGAAGGTGAGAGTCGTGGCTATTACCATGATTACTAGAGGGTGCATTTACGAATACAAACAGAGCAGAGACTGTGCGAAGACCGGCACCTCGCACCCTTGCCTCTCGGCGAACGAGATAAAGCCCCGAGCCCTGATCATGTGAGACAACAGACACAGGGCGGAGGCGCTATATTTTCTTCCCGGATCAGAGTTCGCCACGCCGTTCGGATTCCTTTTTTTCTGGCCGTGCTGCTGCCATCTTCCCCCATACTACTTTTTTAAAACACGTCCATTTCATTAAACGGATATAGGGATACGCGTGAGATAGGATTGTTATGGATATGCGTGCCCTTGTACTCTTAGTTGTAGTGCCTTACGCCAATAATTCCGACTCCGAGTCAAGCCTAGCAGCGTTCCCCGTCCGAAATGTCGAGTGAGAAATTAAGATTTTATAAATCAGGGTTTCTCAACACTCCAGGCCTCGCTACCAGCCACCACTCCCACACTCCGTCTTTTCCGCGTTTACCAATGTACTCGTTCCACGCTGCACGCGTCCGATGATTATTAAACGCGTACCACGTGACGCGCTAACCAATTAGCGCTGTCTGCGTTAACAGAGCCCGATTTGAATTGA